CAGAGGATATTCAAAAAATTCCAATGTAATTTGGATGCATTTATGTCGCGGCATTTAATTACAGAAATATGCAGAATTTGTGAAGGCTAATTATAAAAAACTTGAATTAGATATCTCAGATAAAATCTAATTGCCTTCTTTAAAATTATTAAATGTTTGGTATTGACATAATTGGAAATATACACAAAGAATTATAATTTTTAACTCGATGCATAAAATCGCTAATTTTGAATAACTTGTTCTACATGCAAAAGTCATATTATCTTGCGCGTTACCAAGTGAATAGTACCTTGTTTTTATAGGAAATTTATCACATAAAACTTTAAATGTTAGTGTGTACTCGGTTTAATTACTTTATCTCTGTTCACATTATAACAGAAACTTGAAGTATCAGGTATGAATCTATATTTAATTTAAATTTTATTTCGTTTGTTACTTGATGAAGTATTTATAATTCATAATATTGTTTATTACATAAACAGAATTAAAAACCATTTTTACAAATGTTATAACAATGCTTCGCACTAATTTTGGCCATTTATAAACACGATTATATTGGCAAAGATTTTAACATGGATCATTATACATATGTGAACATTAATTAACGAAAGAGGTATGAAGAACTGTTAGAAAATCTTTTACTCTCTGAACCTATTATTCATATTTCATATTGTACTATATTTGAAATCAACGTAGACTGCATAAACTATACATTGCGAGAAAAACTAATTGAAATTAAAAAGTAATAAAAAAAATGTTTTCTCTGTATATTATGCAACGGAAGATGTGTTCTAAAAGAAAGAAAATAAAATATTTAAATTATTCTCTTTAAACGTCTACGATTGTATAAGATGTATCAGGCGTACGAGACGCACCTGACGATAAATTTCTCTGTTTTTTTACGATCTAACTAACGACTAAACCGGCAGATGTAAAAATAAAACTTATTGGATCGCGCGTATCACATTTACATGCTGTCGATTGCGAAAAATTAGGACACGAAGCAAGGACACGCACGGTTTATGCAATTCGGGATAATTGTCATATTTACGGGATCTACAAGATCAGTTTCCCGCCGTTCGAAGCCCTGATCTGCGCCACCTGCTCCGGAGTGAGTATCAGTTTGCTACCGTTGGGTAGTGCCAAGGCGTAGTGACTTCCAGTTTCGTTTACGACGACCACCAGCTGCGTGTTGGCGTTCGTCGTCGACGGCGGATTATTCTTCACCGGCGTGATGGATATACCGCCTTGGCTCATTCGCTGAATAATCTGTGGCGAGAGAATGCCCTTTGTCGACGGGACAGTGATGTCCGAAGTGATCGTAGGCTTTTGCCTAGATTGATTAGCAGCTCTCTGAGATTCCGACAATCTAGCTCTGTTGGCTGGAGTTGCTTTCTCTGCGGAAGTGGTGGGAGTTTTCTCCATGACGATCATTTCTATCTCGTCGTCGCTATCACTCAGCATGATCAGGGACGTGACCTTTTGTCCGCTATTCTCCGCGCTGGGTGTTTGTGATACTCTTCGTTTCGA